AATTAAACACAAAGCTACACAATGGGCTATCTGTGCTCTGCCAACCACGAGTATCGAAACCCGGATTTTAGCGTTGTAAGTCCGCAGACATACTGCTGTGCCACTGGGGGGGGGGGCTATAAGAAACGCAAAAACGCCGTAAAAACTAAAAAAAAACATAAAATGTAAATCCGAAAATTTGCCTTATCTTCGCATGGACCCAACAAACATTAATGCCAAATTTGGTGAAGATCCATCAACTGGGGACGGAGTAATGGTAAAAAACGCAAAAAATGCTCATAAAAACAGCAAAACGCAAAATGCAGATTTGAAATTTTGTAAATATCTCCCCACGGACCCAATGAACCTCCATATGAAATTTGGTGAAGGGGGCGAAGTAGTGGTAAAAAACGCCCATAAAAATCGCAAAATGCAAAACTGAAAATTTGTATGTACCCCCACATGAACTTAATGAACCTCCACACCAAGTTTGGTGAAGATCCATCCACACCCTGCGAAGTAGTTACATGGACATACAACAGACAGTAGTATTATATTCATGTAGATTCATCATAATTCTATGTATTTAATAATTTTTAATACCAGATGTTAGTTATTGTTACGACTGTTGCCTAGATACCTATTTTATAACGAAGTTCCACAGTTAAAGAATTTTTATCGCTCAGTACATTGTTGCCCGATGAAGTCCCATTTAAAAGAGCCGAAAGCACGAAAATAAGTATTTTAACGTAGATAAAATTTCGTGTATAGTTCTACATATTAATTTACCTACGTTATGAGTCTTAAACCACATTTATTTAGGGCTAGTTAAGCATGATGGAAAATATCGCTTACATTTTGTGATACTCTTCCTGAGTAGGCATTTCCTACCCTCTCACTTTTTTTTGTGAAATTCAGAAAATATTTTTTTTTAAATGATTGAAGAAAGCTCTGCATCATTCGTATCTCCTTCAATTTTTTTTTAAATCTTTTTAAATAAAAGTCGTTATTACCCGTACAACGAAAAAACTAATTAGGCCTTATTTCAAATTTGTTTTTCGTTGCACGGGTAATAATAACATTTATTTAAAATATTTTTTATCAGTTTGAAAATCAGAAATAAAAAAGAAAAATCATTTAAATATAATCACTTCCGCCAGTAATATGAATTCTGACACTTTTATACGGGTGTTGTTGTTTTTTTCTAGTTGTTACAAAACTGTTATTATTATTATTAAACACTTATTCCCTAACAATTTGTTGTACCAAGTGAAAGATACGTCTATCTTTTTATGGCTTAAGGGCTATAGGGCAAAATTATAGGCCAAAAGAATTCCCTGAGTATGCCTACAAAGTTTCTGGTCTCTAGGTTCTTTCCCCTTAGAGCTATTGCACTGACTGACAGTCTGTTTTATCATTACAGATATAAACATTGAGCCAGTAAAATCACTAATTCAAAGAGAGTAATATTTTACTGTCAGCTTCCTAAACTCCTGCTTGCAAGATGATCAACGTTAAAGTGATAAAGGTTGTAACTAATAATCATTTGTCTTTTCTGTTCTTGTGAATTAGAGAGTGGCAAGAATTAAAACAAATTATCAGAATTTTCCATAATTATTATAATACTAAAGTTAAAAGTGTTCTAATTATAAATACACACCTCATATTTAAACACTTTCTTGTCATTTTATACTCACTATATTATTCTTTAAATAAAAATATTGAATCTCAGAGTGTGGATTACATACACTAGATATGTGTGAAGTATCGTTAAGTTATTATCTAGGTGTGTATAAAGTATCGTTAAGTTATTATCTAGGTGTGTATAAAGTATCGTTAAGTTATTATCTTGTTGTGTATAAAGTATCGTTAAGTTATTATACGTATGTATAAAGTATCGAAGTTATTATCTAGGTATGTATAAAGTATCGTTATTATCAAGGTATATATAAGTTATCGTTAAGTTATTACCTAGTTTTTTATAAAGTATCGTTAGGTTGTGATTTAGGTATGTATAAAGTATCGTTAAGTTATTATCTAGGTATGTGTAAATTATGGTTAAGTTATTATCTAGGTATGTAGGTATGTGTAAAGTATGGTTAAGTTATTATCTAGGTGTGTATAAAGTATCGTTAAGTTATTATCTAGGTGTGTATAAAGTATCGTTAAGTTATTATCTAGGTACGTATAAAGTATCGTTAAGTTATTATCTAGGTATGTATAAAGTATCGCTAAGTTATTATCTAGGTACGTATAAAGTATCGTTAAGTTATTATCTAGATATGTATAAAGTATCGCGAATTACTTTATTTGTGCTTATCATTTAAATAATATATTATATCAGTAAATGCTACAATCTTATTACATGCAAAAATAGTGTTTGGTGATAGTTCGCGCGAACTCAAAACATACACAGCTAATTTGAATAAGTTTAGATACTTTATACAAACCTAGATAATAACTTAAGATACGTCATACACAACAAGATTATAACTTAACGATACTTTATACGTACCTAGATAATAACTTAATCGTCTTAATGAACAATTGGAATGCAGGTTACTCATTTTAAAACTACAGAGCTTCTCTCAGTTTTAATGACAACTTGGTGATATGTACATATAAAAACATTTTTGTGGGACATTTTTTCTTTTTTTCTCTACAAGGTATGTATGTCTCATGCAATGTCGACTACTGTGTCTTCATTCTTTGACTCCGTATTGTTCGGACAACTCCTGGATCAGTATCAAGGTATTTGTTTACTTTTTTTTACTTTACTAGTTTTGTTTTATTTCGATAAATTTAAAATGTGGCCCTGCATATGGAGGTTAAATTTCTGTAATAAATATGAAAGTGCAACCCGTATATTCACTCAAAATTTGTTATATAAGACTTTCAAACAGGTTTATTATGTAAAACGTTTAATAAACATAGATTTATTGTTTGTTTTACTAAGCAATAAGGGAAGAAATATTAAAAAAATTTAAAAAAATCTTTATTCATTGAATACTTCAGAAATGACTCAATAATATTGATAGTTATTATAGGTTTCAGCTTGCTGTTCAGTCTGTTATAGAAGAGCAAGAATATGGTGTAATTTTACTAACAAAATACGCAGGTGTACATTCAAGTACACATAAAGAAAGTGCACAAACTAAGCCACACAATAAAAGTAAAACGTTGCTATAGTAAGAAATTACTTTAAGATGTCACGATTTCTTTATAATAATTGTTTGATCCAATTTAACTTTAGATCACCTTTCCCCTTGTGTTTTTTATCTAATTATTTCATTGATGGAACAGTAAAAATATTGTCAAAGATTGTAGCACTCTTGAAGCCTTAAAGGAACGTTGATTCTGTAAGTAAGAAACAAGTGTCCAATGTATGAGGATTAAAATTTCATGTAGCAAATTTCGGAGCATGAATATTTTTTTATCTATAGATAATATTGAAGAACTGATTAAAGATGTGTCAGTTCTTCTTTCTGTCGGTAACGGTGTGGAAAGTGCTGGAATACCCTCGCATATTCAGGTATGTGTGATGTATTGTTAACTTATTATTATGTTTTGTGTGATGTATTGTTAATTTATTATTTTGTTTGGGTGTGATGTGTTGTTAACTTATTACTCGATCATGTGTGATGTATTGTTAACATATTATTCAGGTATGTGTGATGTATTGTTAACTTATTATTATGTTTTGTGTGATGTATTGTTAATTTATTATTCTGTTTGGGTGTGATGTGTTGTTAACTTATTACTCGATTATGTGTGATGTATTGTTAACATATTATTCAAGTTGTGTGATTTATTGTTATCTTATTATTCGGTTATATGTGATGTATTGTTAACATATTATTCAAGTGTGTGTGATATATTGTTGACTTATTATTCAGAATGTGTGATGTAGTGTTAACTTATTATTCTGTTTTGTGTGATGTATTGTTAATTTATTATTCTGTTTGCATGTGATGTATTGTTAACTTATTATTCAGTATGTGTGATGTAGTGTTAACTTATTACTCAGTATCTGTGATGTATTGTTAACATATTATTCAGGTGTGTGTGATGCACTACCATATTATTCAGATATTTTTGATGTATTGTTAATACATTATTCAGGTGTGCGTTGCGGATCGCTATTATCAAGGTAAGTATGATTTATTGTTAACTTATTATTCAGGTATATGTGATGTATTGTTAACTTATTATTCAGTATGTGTGATGTATTGTTAAAATATTATTCAGGTGTCTGTGATGTATTGATACCATATTATTCAGATATGTGTGATGTATTGTTAATATATTATTCAGGTGTGCATTGTGGATCGTTATTATCAAGATAAGCATGATGTATTGTTAATATATTATTCAGGTGTGCATTGTGGATCGTTATTATCAAAATAAGCATGATATATTGTTAACATACTATTCAGGTGTGCATGATGTATCGTTAATATCAAGATAAGTATGATCAGTGGTGGGATTCAGCCGGTTCGCACCGGTTCGTGCGAACCTGTTCTTAGAATTTAATGACCTCCACGAATCGGTTGTTAACAATCGTATGTATAGGTCTAATAATAACGTTACAACTTACAAGTACGCGTGTTTACAACGCAACTTTACTAGCAGGCTAGGCGGACTAGGTCTACTAGATCTATGATGAATCATTTGCCAGCAGGTAAGT